GGTAAGCTGTTGAGGATATCAGGTGTCATAAGAATTATAATGAGCAATGGCAACAATAAAAGAAATGATAATCACGTATGAATAAAGATTCACTGATTTATTTAATAAGCAGAAAGAGAAGATATGTCTGATTTGAGATTGAAATATGTATCAAGTCAAGGTAACTTTTGACAAACGAAAATATACTGAAATCAAATATTTACATGCATGTACATATGTACCACATTACATACAGAATCAGAGGCATGTGATGCCCACACCACTAGTGTCCTGCGTGACCAACGTTTTTGGTCACGATCACGAAAAAAATGATTTGTTAGTCACGATCACGGTCACGCAGGTCACTACACACTACACCCGCATCTACACCGGCAAACCCACATCCTTCTTTCTAGACATTTTTTCTTCACAACAATACACAAGACACTTCTCTGTAATTGTATCTTTCAATATAATAATAATCTACTTTATATAAATAGCAATCAATGTATTTTTGCAAAAGGAAAATAATCTTGCATATCTTTAGAATATGTCGCATCTTTGAATAAATATATTTCATTTATTTTTGCACAATTAATTCGTGTATCATCTCTTGTAAAATGATGTGTTACTCTTTGCAATGATTTATAATCGATATCAAGAAGAATATTATTTCGGAAATATGTTTCCATATTGAATAGAAAATCTTCGATATAATCATCACGCACTTGCCGAATATTAAATTTAGTAAGATAACAATACTTAGCAATTTATAAATTATGATTATCATTTATTGATTTATCAGATTGTTTTGTGATTTTGTGAGTGACGATTAATCAAGGATAATTCTTCCATAAATGGAAATGATTGAGCAATTCGAATAAAAAATTCATTTTCAAAAGGATGTTCATCATATAATGATACTACACGAACACATCGGTATAATCCACCTGGAATATTATTTGTTATGTCGTCATAATATTGCATTAGAAATGGATATGAATAAACATGGCATTGGCCCCGATATTGCTCTAGAAAATAATCAACACAAGATACTATTTTAGTATATCGAAACTATAAATGTGTGTTGAATGTCGTCTTTTGATGGTAAATTCATTGTATTATTAATTAACATAAGCGAATGAGCATCAAATGTAAATTGATTTAATTGTGAAATATGATCCAGAATATTTTTCTTCAAATGATTTCCATCAATAAATGTTTCAACACACAGCGTAAGATACAAACCAAGTTTTTCTAAATTTGACATTCGATAAAGAAGTGGTAAACGGCTTGTCCAAGCGTAACGCTGTGGCGTTTTGGCAAATGTTTTGAAATATATCGAAAAGTATGGTAGCTGGAAAGTTCATTCAAGCGCCATTCGACGCTGCTCGACGAGTTCTATTTGTACTATAAATTAAATGTCTTTTAGTTGAACTCTACAGTTTACAAAGATGGTTTATAGTCGCGTAACACTGACGTAAAAGGCCCTGAGTTTCCAACGCTCTCACTTATTGTTCAACTCCCTGCGAACGACGATCTCCAATTAAAAGAGACCTGGAACCAACTTTGTAGAGCATGAAATGAGCTTTCAAATGGTAAAAACATTTTTCTCCTAGCTCTCATAATTCAAATAAAAAATGAAAAAAGATAGCGTAACGCTGTGACCTTTTTCGTAACGCTGTGACACTATTTTTTGTCGATCGATTTTGAACCCCTTAAGATAGTCGGATCTATTTTATTTTCGTAGTCATTGGTCTATTCTCTACATATAACCACTATACAAAAAATCAAGTGGTTGCATCGAAGCGGAAGCTCCGTACCAGTACTCAAAGTTGAAAGCTCTACAACAATGTAAAAGTTGCCTTGCAGTGAAATTTAAAAATTAACTGGCCATTTTGTAGAGAATTAAATTCTGTATCGAGCGGTATAAAGATTAGCATTTCTCCAAAAACGTTTTTTGTTTAAAAGTTTGAAATACGATTTTTTTGGAACCGTAAAATACGATTTAAGATGCAAATGTTGGCAAAACACATGACAAAAATATACTTTAAATTTGGTATTTTTACGTAGAGAAATAAAAACAAAAAGACTCAAATTTATTTTCTTGTACAGCTAACTTGATTCTCAACTTCTTCTGATGGATGATGAATGTTAGCCAAATGAATATAGAGTGTAATAAAGTTGATTGAAACGACCATCGAGAATATAAAGACACTGATAAAAATTTTGAGCTTTGATATTAAATACCAAGAGTTGAAGAATAAAAACTGGGAGATGGAAAATCAAATAATAATCGAACGATATTTTGATATGATGATTCATAAAATATAAAATGAGTTAATTTGATAAACACAATAAAGATATGATGACATATGCTTTTCATTATCGTTAGATCATTTTGATTTGGACCAGCTGTAATAATCAGTGTTGTTATCGGATTTTTAAAAATGCCAGATGAAAGTCTTTCATCTGAACACATAGAATGTATTATTAAGCAAGAAAAAGAACAAAATAATCAACTTTATAAATATTCATTAGAATCAAAGATCAACGCAAATTGTCAAAAGACTATAAGATAATCTTTGATAGAAAGAAATTATTTTTAGGAATAATCTCTCCTTGTATCAGTTGTCTCCTTTCAACAAAGTGCATAATAAATTTATTAAAAATAATGAACATTATTTTTTGAATATTGTTTTCTTTCTTTACATTAATTTGTGTAAATAATTCTTTTGTTTCTTCTACAACTTCATAGTCAAATATAAATTAGAAATCAAATTAATTAAATATACCTTTCATTTGTGTTTTAGAGCTAAGACAATTGTATTGAAAATTCCTTACCGATAAAAAGACATCCAGCTGTCTCTTCTTTGATATTATATAGGCTGAGTCCATATAAATCAGGATAATCCGCACCGCATAGAATATGTTTCATAGATGATGATTCAAGATCAAGCCATTTGATTTTCATAGAAATTCCAGGTAAAATTTGTCAACAAAATCGATCAAATATGATATTAGAAGAGTATTTATTGATAAACTTATTGGACTCCCATTTGACAAAATTCAAACGACTTGTAAATATTCGATCATATATAATTTTATTCAATCGTTCATTGACACCTTAAAAAGAATAAAGTACTTCAAGTTTGTTCAATTTTTTGAAAATAATCAGAAAAATTTCATCCGGTAAAGCATTCAATTCGACACATGAATATTTCATATTTGTATTTACTTATCTATTCGTTTTACCTCAGAAAAGATATTATTTATATACTCATTTATTCTATTTGACTGATATCGTCAACATGAACAATAATACTGCATAGTTCAATAGTCTAAATTGTCAATGAATTGATAATTAGAAGAATATTGTTGTTTCTCTTTCTCCTATGTTTAATACAAGGGGGAACCAGCGGACTATTGGACTTGAAGTGACTTAGAGCTACTTTGACTTACTTCGAAGTACTTGAAGCTACTTCAATTAGTTTACTTTCACGTATTTTTCAATTTTACATTTACTTGAAGTTATCTCAAGTTACTTGTTCTAACTTTGCGCTACTTGAACGATACTTTGAGCTACTTCAAGTAGTGTACTTTGACGTACTTTTGTACTTCAAGTCCGCTGTTTCCCACTTGGTTTAATATGTCATATAATGAAGAGAATGGTATTAAATTGACGAAAAGAAAAAGTAGCGAACGAAAGAATAGCGGAAAAATTATGGCGAAACAAAAATGGCAAACATATGACAATGCCGAAAAAAGTTTATTTTGAGATATTCTACCAGCGAGTTGAAGATATTTTACTGCATACGGAAAAGTTAGATGTTTTAGTGCACAAACAATAAATAGTAGTGTATGAAAGGTAGTCAAGAACCAGTGACAGATGCACAACGGATGAACGGTGTATGGCTATACTCCCTTTTGAAACTGATTTCATACTAAATTTTAGAGATTTCTCTCCGAAGCTTCATGTTTTGATCGCATCTGTCTCTCCCTTTTGCTCAACCGCATTTCCATTCAAAATTTCCTGGATCCATCCCTGTCAAGAAGAAAATTAGCAAAAAGACAATACGTTTCTTTATGTAGATGCTCATTTATTTCTTTTGGTTATGACGCGTGACAAACAGTCTAGCAACTGGCCAACATCGATAAAAGACATCTGAAATATCTTCGACATTTTCTAGGATAATATATTTTTTCGCGACTTTTTTACAATCGACATTCCTTTTTCGCTACAATTATCTTTTACATTTTTTTTCTTATTATTCTTTCGTTCTTTTGTTTTTTCTTTTAGCCAATTTGATAGATACCGATGAAGATGAACATTCCTCGATTTATTTTTGAATGATGATCTTTGTTTTTAGTTTTCTTCCGAGTTCTTTCCTAATATTATGAATTGTAATAATTCATAATTATATTTTTTATATAAAAGAAAATAAAGTATATAATATACTACATACTCTCTATGAAACAGATCAGTTTGAATATATAAACGCTCACGTTCTTCCCATGCATGAATTATTTTAAGAATAATTCGATATGTTGTAAGTGTTGCATGAAAACGAACTTGTTTTAATTGTTCATTACTAGTATTCAATTTGAAATATTTAATTTAATTTTCCAAATATTCTACCCATCAGATTTCAAAATTTATTTAATGAACGTTTCATTGTATATCATTAATTATCTTCTTTGTGACGAACTTCATTCGAGATGTTTAAAACATTGATCCCAATAAGTAGATGCATCTGATATGATATAACATGGACTCTCCAAAGCTGAAATCAATCGTGATATAGAACAAATTGATAACAAATAATAATAAAAACATATCAACACAAAATGTATTTGAACTTATTGAAACAGCATTTGCTAATCGAGAAACAGCTGGTATAAAATATCAAAATGTACAACATGAAATTAATTTTAGTGGTTGATTTATTGAAATTCTTCGACGAGCTCTTTAAAGAAAAAGAATATTCAAATGAAATTCTTTTTCTTTTCTCAAGTTTTCTAATAGAAAAAGCATGAAATGAAGTACTTGATGTCTGTTCTGGTAAAAAGGTCAATTCAGTTTTAGTTGTCATACTTCTTTTATGTGATAATGCTATACCAAAACAGAATCTTTAAATAAATTGGAAGATGATTCTTTTTATATAGAATAAACAGGTGAAGAATTAATTATTAGATTTTGTTTGAAAAAAGAACAGCGACTTATTGCTTATAACTGAATTATGTAATATATGTCAACGATGAATATGTACACAACATTTAAATGAACAGTATAAGATTGATAGTGAATCTCGTTCTGATGATCTCTTATCGATCGCTTTGATCCAATCCGAGCACAACTTGAAATAATGCCTAATGATGAAACAAGACACTTTGAGTACAATAATCTGTTGAAACTTCAAAAAATAGAAACTTATTTCAAGTGATGAAGATCGCTTTATATATAGATTAAACTTTCTTTTAGGTCGAACAAGAACGTCACTTAGTCTTGCTACTACTAATATGTAGATTAAAATTCATCTACTTATGCAGAATTTGCTTTAGAAATTAGTCAATTTAACTGTCTTCTATATAATTCATCAATTCTTGTTTGTTATTAGCAGCACAACTTTATTACCAGTTAAAAAACCTTTCTTGTTTATTTCATGAGAAAATAATTTTTTCCTATAAAAAAAAATATTATTTTTTTTCTTGATCACGATCAACAATTAATTTTGGTGTAACAAGAGGGCCACCACTAAAACATATGATGTAAAGGTAAATGAGATTTTTATGACTAGTCTGTATTGAGTCTTACTCTATTTTATCTTTTTGTTCTTGATCAACAATATTAGTAACTACGCCTATACAAAAACAACACGATTAACACAAAAAAATAGTAAACGGCATCTTACAAATATCTTCTATCGATGTACAAAAGAAAGCGCCAGCTATGTTTCCAAATAATGTTGATGGTGACCGAGCTAAAAACTTTTTAATGTCATCAGCCGAAAGTTTATTGAACGTATTTCCCGTTTTTGTATTTAATAACTTAACAAGTTCTTCAACTTTATCAAATGCACTAAGAAGAAAACACTTTGATTTTGTAAAAAGGAAACAAAAATAGCACACTAGTTATAATCTGTACGATGAGTTTCATATTGTAATGGTAATCGTACATGTTGAAATGTTCTATTAGTATCGCTATAAAAAGCAGATTAACATTGTTTGTTTTTACAAACATTTCAGCCTCAAGTTTCAAATACTGAGCTATAAAGCAGTGAAGCATTTCTTGCACTAGCTATAAACAGTTATCGGAGATTTGTTTTCGTTTCTTAATTATATATTCAAAAAGTAATTATAACAGTATTATATTCAGCAACGTATATAGCAATAGCTCAAATAGAAAAAATGAAACACATATCAACTAACGATTATTTTATCCCTTTCGTTTAAATACATCCTTTTTGCTAGTGTAATTTATGTAGAATACTATGAGGAACTTCGCTGAGTAATATAACTCACGTTAAAACTAGCCATAAACGATTCACCCCAACGAAACAACAGCACATTAAGCTTAATATTATTTTTCTCATAATCGAGATGCATTTTACCAATATCATCCTTCGTATAACAGTCAATTAATTCGATCACCTTTTGAAAATAGTGCAAAAAATTTTCAAAAAGAGAAAATTGTTTGTTACCTGGTTGTTTTTCATAAGCGAATACTGGCTTTGTAAAATGTACCAATGTGTACTAATAATAAAAATATCAATGATTTCGTTGATTTTATTTCGAAATCGATCGATTAATGTTTCCAACGTAATATCAGACATTATCTAAAATATGAAAGAAATGCGTAATTCATGTTTTGATTAGAATGTTTGCATCCTTCTCTGTTTACAAATAGCGAAGGAATTAAAAAGAGAATTATTCTTTTACTTTAATAGTGAATCCGTTTACCCCAATTTCTTATAGATATATATACAGAGAAAGCTTTCTTTCTTTTTTTCGTCTTAGTTTTTTACAGCGCACGAGGTCAACGTCCGCTGATGTCAAGTGTACAACATGAAGAAAAATAAACAAATATAATAGTCGACACAAATAACAAGGAAAATCGAAACAAAGTGATTATGTAATTGTCTAATCACTTATAAAAATACTTTCAGTAAAAGATGATTTTTGGCTAACTTTTGCATCACTATGCGCAAACATAAAAATTATATTGTGTCATATTTAATAATAGGAGACTAATTTGAATCAAGCATGAAAGATAATACATTACAGTAAATATAGAGAACGTTTATCTTATGTTTTTTTTTAAATTAAAATATTTCTTTGAATAAAATTTTCATATTAAATTATTTTATTTGATTTTATTAGAATAAAATCAAAATTTGAGAAGATAAATTTGCTATCGGATAAGTAAGCACGAAAAATTAACCTTTTCTCATGTTATACCTTGTTCCCCTGGAAAAAATTATCAAAGAAATAAAAACTTGCTGTCCTAAATCTCCTTATTTAACTTCAAATGTGATTATAAAGCGTTGACAAATTCCGAGATTATAGTAAAGACTACGTTTTAATTGATATAACGCGCAGTATGTTAAAATTCTGCTTTTCTTATTCATTTTTACAATAAAAAATTCCAAAACACTATACACTCATTTCTTAACTGACGGTAAAAATTCCAAGAAAGTCTTGAAAGAGAATTTTCGATTAGGCTATATTATTGACTTTGTTATTAATGAGCGAAGAGAAAAATTATGATTATATGATTTTTGTCAAACACATTTTGAATAAATTAAACGCTATGGCATTCGAATAGAACAGGTCCTGTTAAATTAGCATTATCTTTTCGGTCTAATCATACAAGATAGAAGTTCTAAATCCGAAATTTACATTAGTCAATAATATTTCCGTTTTTGGAAGTTCGTTGAAGTCAATTTCACTAGAGTATTGCAGAGCGCGACATTTTGACAACTTGTAACCTGTCCTGTTGATATTTGACAACCTTATCTTGTTCTGCCTTGTATTGTTAACTAGAAGAATAGAACAAATAAAAGAAACTAGACAATATTCAAGCTTTGCTAGAATACGAAATGCAGTGCAAAGTACAAGGCGAGTATCGAGAAAATAGAATATCGCATACGAAATGAATAAGTATTGTTCGTATATACGTAGAATAAGACGGTTTTTGATTTCGCAAATTTTTGTTTTAATAACAAACTAGTAGTTTGCTTTATTGAAGGAAAAACTAAGTATTTCCATGAATCGTATGAATTAACTATGTGTATCAGAGCATCAACCAGGCCGTGTTTTTGTAGGCCTGGCCGGTACGTGACAGGCCTTTGCATTTCAAGCCTGCCTGTGCCTGTCAACTAATTTGTTTGGCCTGGCCTGCCTGGCAATGTTTTTTATGCTAATACCATTACGAGGATAGAATAGAAACATGCAATTAATGTTGAGAATGAAGAAAACCAGTTTAATTAATTTAATATGACTAGATTAAGCATTTACTTATCGAAGTTTTCATACAAAAAAGAATACATCAGAGACAGCATTGCAAAACCTTAAGAAAAAAGTTTGTTTTTGCTCAAAAATCTTTTGAATGGATATCACAAAGAGAATATCATTTAAAGTTTGACGATCCAAAGTAGAACGACGTTCTGTTACAGCTAGTCCAACAGCCGAAAAAAATCTTTCTAAAGCTGCGGAGGTTACAGGTATCGAAAATAGATGACGAGCAAGTAATGATAAGCATGGGAACTTCTGCTGATAATGCCTCCAGAAAGGTAACAGGTTTGGTATTTTCTGAATATCTTCTATGTTCATTTTTAAATATCATTATTCTATACTTCATCTGATTATTAGCGTTAGGGATGGCACTTTTAGAGGTGTAAGCCGTCAGTTGAGAAATACGTCGGCTCTAGCAAAAATGCCGGCTGTCAGCCGTCGGCTTCAACAAACATCGACTGGCGGCTTACACCTCTAGGCACATTAACTTTACTTTAACCGTAAATTTTAACGTTTAAAGCTGTATAAAGTTGCCTTTAAACGCTTCTTTTTAATACTTTTTACTGTACTCACGTATTTAGTCATGCTTATGAGACTCTCTGCAACACATAAAACGCCAAAAAATAGCATTTAAACGTGACTTTAAACCACTTTGAACTCTGCACTTTACGGTCAATTTAAAATTAAAGTGCCACCCCTAATTAGCGTCACCCACAATTTAAAAACAATTTATATCGAAAATAAAATTATATATAAAAAGAATAGAGACATGCCAGGCCTCAAGATCCTGGCCTGTGCCTGTCACAGGCAGGCAGGCAGGCCTAGTGGCCTGGTTGATGCTCTGATGCGTATCCTTCATAGGAAGCACTCATTATCAGAAAATGTAATCATGATTAACGATATCTTTAAGATATCGAAGATTGATGAATTGTCTATATATCATTTTTAAGGATTAATGATAAATAGAAAAATTAAGACGTACATCTGATATAGTATGGAAACGTATCGATTGAGTCTCTCGATTATTTACATTTTAATCTCATATTAAAAATTGAACTCTATCAACGTAGCAGATGCTCATAAGAAGTTTATAATTTTTATTTAAAAATGTTCTATTGCTTAAAAAAGTGTTTCTTTGCAAGCTAATGAGTATTCTCTTTAATGAAGTGAGCGTGGGTATCCTGTTGCCGTGTGTTCTTGTACACCGACACCCACACCCACTTCGAAGCAAACGTTGCGACTCGGTCAGCTCATCGAACATGCTGAGTGTAGATTTGTTTGGTAGTGTCGATATTGTTGGTGTGAGTAGAATTGTGGATAGTGGAGTTGGTTTGGAAGTTGTTTTGGCTGTGATATTTGGAGGTGTTTGTGTTTGTGCTGGAAAGGATGAGTAGTTAGTGTCGAGTTTATTGGTAAAGACTTTGAAGTCAGTGGGGGTATATAGTTGGCGGGTTGCACGGAAATATTTGGACAGTGAACGTAAGGTAGCTTGTGTGTTTGTGACGAAGTTTTTGGAATGGCGAATGTATGTATAAAAGGTTGATATTGGTTGCTTATATTGAATGAATCATTTTTGCTGTGATTTAGTCGAGCGGAAATTCATGTTGTGATGGAAAATCGGAAGTAATTTGACTGTGTGAAGTTGTTGTTTTGAAAGCTTTGTATGGTGTTGGAACATTGGTTTTTGAAAGTGAAGGTTACTGGATTTTTGCTTACGTAGATGTTTGAAGTATATCGTGTGGTTGCGATGAGTTCGGCTGTTGGTGGTTTCTCAAATGCGTGGTGGCTGATGGAGAAATTCTGTTACTGCGTGTTTGTAGTACTATGTATCGCCTGTATGATCGTGGTGCAGGAGCCTGATTGAAATCTTAATGTAACCCGAAAATTTTCAATGAAAAGTCGGTGTCCACATTGTTAGGTGGCTTGCCAGTATTTTGAACAGTGCGTTGAGAACGTTACTGCAAAATATGGAAGCGAAATCAATTGGATCTTAATTGAGTTCGCTTACTGGCGAGGGTGGCATATGTTATAATATAGATGTGATATGAATAACAGGGTTTCGAGAAGAACGGGAAACTGTGTAGTATTAATCACTGAATTGATTGATGTGTCACCGAAAAGAGCATCTGGAACTATTGAGAAAGATCGTTATTTCCTCGAAGAACTTATTTGCAAACATCTACAACTGAGAAAAGTCACTCCTCACTGAGCCTCGGAACCGTATTAGCTCACGTTCAGCTAAGCGAGAAAATCCATCTTGGCGCGGATAATTTGTCCAAGAAGAAGATAGCAAATATGTGAACTTGTGACAGGTCACCAGTCATCCGTTTGTACCATAGAAATTTGGCCAAAAGGACACAATGCAGCCTGAAAATTAATTCGAAGAAGTTGACGCGCATCTTTCGAAGTTAGTCACGTGGCACCGAAAGTTTTTTCGCCATATTATGCAAAAGGATCCCAGGTCGAACAGTCCGGCCTGGAAACGGCCAGTTCCAGTTGATTCCGTTGATTTTGTGGAGACAGTATTCCGGCTGGAAAATTTTCGGATTTTTCCGATGATTTCTGATCAATTCCTGCCAAAAAGCATCGGAACTTGGCAAGAATCCGCCGGAAAAGTCCGGCCGTATTTTTGATCGGAATACCTTTTTCAAGTTCCAGCGATTTCCCCTGTTTCCCTGCAGGATGGCGACTTTTCAGTATATTTTCTGGCGTATCCTACGGGATCTGGTGACAGGAGTGTTAGACCTTGGGATTGGTTCTGTGTTATACCATTATGCAGATCAAGGGCAAATGATTGATCATCATTAAGTTCAATACCACATGTTTTTAGAAATGTTCGAAAAAATCTCGAAACAGATTATATCAAGATGGTCTGACAGTCATCGACTGTTTTGAATATTTCACTAGGTGCTTCTCGGTTGTTCGATCTTTCTGAACGGAAAGTTAACTGAGTAAAGGCACTGACAACCCTTGCACCATACCATAATCAAAATTATAAATTCAATTATAGAGCAAATTGGAAAAAGCCTTGCTACTTTTGGTATACCGTAGGCATATATATTATTATATCTGGTTTCTTTTTTCTAACTGACTTGTCGTCAATTTATTGTTCGAAAGCATTCGTCGAGAGAGATTGTCAATCAATGATAGAAGACGAGACTACAATAAAGCGCTGATTGATATGAAGATCTGATTGTCTTTAATATTTCAAATAGACTTGGAAGGTTTCAAATTGAGAGCTGCCACACCCAAGTGTTAGGTAATGGCACTATCTCGCACCCCCTACTTCTCTTTTCTTCTCTCTTCGATAGCCGCGCTTGATTGGTTATCTGTGTGGACCGATCAAGGAGTTGTTACTCTTAGTTGTTGTCTTCTTGAGGTTACAATAAACTAGTCCTACATCCTAACAATTGGTCCCGTAACCCACATCGACAAACATTCGTCGACCAAGGTACGTTTTTTTCTTCTCATGATCAATTATCCTGTCCCGTGTTGATTGTATTCTGGTGATTATGAGCTTGAAGTTTCTCCTCGTTACTGAATTTCTACTAATTATTGTTTATTGCCCAGTGTCTCTTTCCCTGTTATGGAAGAAGTAATTAGATCACTTATTAAATTTGGTGGTACTCTTAATGAAGATGTTGTTAAATGGCTGCACGATATGGAAGAAATATTTGATCGAGTACAATTACGACCATCAAATAAATTTATAGTTGCACAATCTTATCTAACAAAGACTGCTGCCATGTGGTTTAGATTTAATAAATCTAATATTCCTGAGTGGTCCACTTTCCAGATTGAAATTGTTAAAGCTTTTCAATTATCAACTGCATTAAAAATGTCTTTAATTTCAACAATACCACAACAAGAAAAAGAGAATGAAAATAATCGAATTGATTTAATTAATGATAACCAAATTAAATCATTTGAAGCTTTAGAAAATAAATGTTTACGTAAAAATGAACAAGGTATTGATTCACCTTATGTAAGTTAATATTAATGATCTTGATCTGAAAGTGCAAGCACAATGTTCAGATGTAGCAGATGATTATGATCAATTAGAACAGCAAGGTGCATCTATTAATAAGTCAGGCTCTGTTGAACCTGATGTTGAAGATGTTTTTGAAACTATTGCTGAAAGTATGGGAAGTTTACCAGTTGATGATTCATTAACTTGTACTGTTACACCACCGAAGGTTCAATATTTACTGTCCGATAATCATTGACCCTGTAAACGCTGTGTTTTTAAAACAGTTCATACTGCTTCTAATTGGAATTTATCCCATGGACCACCTTATGAAGATAGTGCATCTCAGAGTATTAGTATAAAGAATGGAATTATTTATGTCAAGATGCATTTCGATATCATTTTCACAACGGTATATATGAATTAGGGCTTCATTTTCGTAAATGGAAATTTAGTAAATGGAAATATCGTTGATAAACTTTTATTTTTTTGGTTTCGTTTCCATTTTCTTGCTTCATTTTTCTTTTGTTTTCTTTTTGTTATATCGCCGTGAACAGGTGAAGTCGTTCACTGATAAATGGTGGAGGTGTTAGGTAGTGGTGCTATCTCGCACCCACACCCTCTCTTTTCTTCTCTCTTCGATAGCTGCGCTTGATGGGCTATCTGTGTGGACCGATCAAGGAGTTAGTTAGTCTTAGTTGTTGCTTTATCGAGGTTACAATAAACTAGCCCTATATCCTAACACCAACTTACATAAATGGTTTTGAAAACAAACGAGATGGCGGACGCGCTAAAGAACGCAGGATTCGAATGATATTTTCAAAACGTCTCGCATGTGTCCCGATTTGTAATACAATACAGGAAACATTGTGAAAATGCGTCGTGAAACCTATCATGCAGCGCATTTATCATTATTTTTCTATAAAGGAAGATTATGAAATTTAGTTCTATTTAATTATTTCAAAGAGCTATCTTTCGTATGTTCAACGATGTTGTTTACGGTACGGTTGCGTTTATCTGTATAACAAAGCGACGAATAACTAATGAGAAGGCACAACCCGACACGTTTCTATGCTCATGTTGATCACACAGTAACTATCAATAAATAAGTCCGACCGATTTTACGTCAATATACATGGAGCACCCATGACAATCTTTTGATATTGAAAATTTCGTCAATTTTCGCACCTTCCAAATATCACTTCCTCCAATAACTGCTAATAGATGACATATTAGAAAAGTCATTTTTTTCCGTCGTACCTTTAAAGTAACAATTAAAAGGTCTGCGTTCACGCTGACTTACCCAGTATAAACATTGACACCTCAAAACTTAGTCCCATATTAAGCAACCCAGGGTGTACTAAATGTATGATTCGCTCTGTATATGTTCTTCTCATATCATTATCATCAAGTTTCAATCCATCACACCAGTCATAATTAAAAGCTTGTCAGCGCAGCCCCGTTTGGGCTAAAATGTGGAACTCACATATTTCGGTCAGTTAGATACTGATCAAATAGAAGTTCTATTTTTTCAGTGTAGTGAGATCATATTTTGTTCAAAAATAAGATAATAAAACCTTTTTAACATTTGAAGTTTATTGGATCTATCATTAGGGAATATTACTAGAGAGAACGTATGAAAAACTTTCTGTTTAAAATATGTCAGTATGCTGAAGTGTTTAGTGGTTTCATTGAGAAATATTGTGAATGATAATAGTTTAAACAGTATTTATGATATAGCTATCAATATTGTTGAGAAATTTCTACTTTTTCGTATTACCAGGTGAGAAATTGATACACTTTTTCATAAACGAAAATTTGATAAAAGCTTCCCAGTGGTTGGAAAAGTTCCCAATTGTAAATACACTAAAGCGGGCTCAAGCTCTAAAATAAGGTATTCGTGTGAGAAAAAAAGGATCAAAAGCTTCATCTGTTTATTGTAGGTGGTAGAAGTAAAGAATGTAATAGTAGCATAAACTAGTTGCTAGCTTCTGTAGCGGTAGCATACACTCGTTGAGAACGTCTTTAATAATAATAACATATGATACTGTCGTAACTATGGGCTATAACAATAAAAACGAAAGATTTTGATGATTCATTAGAGACTGAATCCTAATTATAACGATTTCTAACTAGTGAAACTAGACTTTTATTGGTGATGTGAGTAGTGGTGAACATAGCCAATCCATCCGTATAAAAATATTATCTAATTAGTGCATCGAAGTGTTAGTTTCATCATGTTTTATGTGTGTGATGGAGAGGGGAGGTGGGGTACACAGTGCCGCACAAACCTAACAACTAAACTTACACTCACTATACTCTCCGTGAATATATGTGGATTCCACAAAATGTAAGATAAACTATTCATTCGTTTAGGATTCCAGGGAACCATCACCACTAGAACGACACCTTCATTTACTACTCTTGCAAAATCACAACTGCAAAAAAGCAGTGAAGTCCTACTAAATGGAATAATCAAGCAACTGGCACACGCAAACAACAAGTCAAACTTCACCAGAGCCAAGCAAGTTTATTTCAAAACAACAAAATCCAAGAAAGGAAGAAACAAAAAAATATAGGGAATTATTTTGGGTGGGCGCATGATCACTGCCGAGACGGCCGCAGGCCGTCGAGGCGGTGATCACGCCCACCCAAAATAATTCCCTATATTTTTTTGTTTCTTCCTTTGTTGGATTTTGCTGTTTTGAAATAAACTTTCGTGGTTCTGGTGAAGTTTGACTTGTTGTTTGGGTGTGCCAGTTACATGATTATTCCATTTAGTAGGACTTCACTGCTTTTTTGCAGTTGTGATTCTGCAAGAGTAATAGGTGAAGGTGACATTTCTAGGGGTGATGGTTTCCTAGAATCCTAAAAGAATGAATAGTTTATCTTACATTTTGTGGAATCCACATATATTCACGGAGAGTACAGTGAGTGTAAGTTTAGTTGTTAGGTTTGTGCGGCACCGTGTACCCCACCTCCCCTCTCCATTACACACATAAAACATAAAGAAACTAACACTTCGGTGCACTAATTAGATAAAATTTTTATACGGATGGATTGGCTATGTTCACCACTACTCACATCACTAATAAAAATCTAGTTTCACTAATTAGAAATCCGTATAATTAGGATTTAGTCTCTAATGAATCATCAAAATCTGTCGTTTTTATTATTATAGCCCATAGTTACGACAGTATCATATGTTATTATTATTAAAGACGTTAGCAACGAGTGTATGCTACCGCTACAGAAGCTAGCAACTAGTTTATGCTACTATTACATTCATTACTTCTACCACCTACAATAAACAGATGAAGATTTTAATCTTTTCTTTCTCACACGAATACCTTATTCTAGAGCTTGAGTCCACTTTAGTGTATTTACAATTGGGAACTTTTCCATCCACTGGGAAGCTTTTTGTCAAATTTTCGTTTACGAAAAAATGTATCAATTTCTCACCTGGTAATACGAAAAAGTATAAATTTCTCAACAATATTGATAGCTATATCATAAATACTGTTTTAACTATTATGATTCACAATATTTTTCAATGAAACCACTAAACACTTCAGCATACTGACATATTTTAAACAGAAAGTTTTTCATACGTTCTCTCTAGTAATATTCCCTAATGATAGATCCAATAAACTTCAAATGTTAAAAAGGTTTTATTATCTTTTTTTTGAGCAAAATATGATCTCACTACATTGAAAAAATAAAACTTCTATTTGATCAGTATCTAACTGACCGAAATATGTGAGTTCCACAGTTTAGCCCGAACGGGGCTGCGCTGACAAGCTTTTAATTATGACTGGTGTGATGGATTGAA